AACGGGAGTGCAGAAACCTCCAGTTATTATTGTAGACTCATCTATGCTTCCTCCTGGTTCTACTAGGTTTTGCTTTGTACATTTTGGAGTTCTGTTATTAAGCATATGCATGTTTAGATTATTATATTATTATATTTAGATTACTATGTCATCCTTTGTCATTAAGAAATGTTCCTCCTTATCCCTGGTAATAATTCTTGTTCCAAAACTACATTGCCTCAAATTAATATAGCCACTACAAGTTTCTGACAATTAATGTTTGCATGTATATATTTTTGTATTCTTTTACTTTTAACCTATCTGTGTCTTTATATTTAAAGTGAGTTTGTTGTAGACAGCACATGGTTGAGTCTTGCCCTTTTATCCAGCCTGACAAAATTATGTATAAATCCACCATTTGGCTATTTTTTTTTTTTGTCCCATCTGTTCTTTGTGCCTTTTCTCCTCTTTTCTGACTTCTTTTGGATTTTTTATCTTGTTTTCTTTTTCCTTGGGACAGAGTCTTGTTCTGTCGCCAGGCACCAGGCGCCAGGCTGGAGTGCAATGGCGCGATCTCTGCTCACTGCAACCTCCACCTCCCAGGTTCAAGCAATTCCCCTGCCTCAGCCTCCTGAGTAGCTGGGACTACAGGCACACATCACCATGCAGAGCTAATTTTTTATATTTTAGTAGAGATGGGTTTCACAGTGTTGGCCAGGATGGTCTTGATCTCTTGACCTCGTGATCCGCCCACCTTGGCCTCCCAAAGTGCTGGGATTACAGGCGTGAGCCACTGCGCCCGGCCCTCTTGTTTTGTTTTAGTATTCCATTTGATCCACTGGCTTATTAGCTATCCTTTGTTACTACATCAGTGTTTGCTCTGATTTTACAATGTGCATTTTTCACTTCTCACGGTGTACTCTCAGATATACCACTTCCCACGAAATGTGGACACACACAACAGCACACGTCCATTTCCCTCCTATCCTTTCAACTGCTGTCATCCATTTTACTTCTCTAGAGGTTAGAAACCCCACAATACATTGTTACCACTCTTGCTTTGAGTTTCTTTCTTTCTTTCTCTATCTCTCTTTTCTTTCTCTTTCTTTCTTTCTTTCCTTCCTTCCTTCCTTCCTTCCTTCCTTCCTTCCTTCCTTCCTTCCTTCTCTCTCTCTCTCTCCCTCCCTCCCTCCCTCCCTCCCTCCCTCTCTCTCTCTCTCTCTCTCTCCCTCTCCCCTCCCCCTCTCTCCAGGGTCTCACTCTGCCACCCAGGCTGGAGTGCAGTGGTGCGATCATGACTCACTGCACCCTCAACCTCCTGAGCTCAAGCAATCGTCCCACCTCAGCCTCCCGAGTAGCTGGGACTACAGGCATATGAGGCTGCAGTGAGCTGTGATTGCAACACTACACTCCAGCCTGGGTGACAGAGTTAGACCCTGTCTTAAAAAAAGAAAGGAAGAAAAAAAGAAAGGTACTCAACTGTTGAAAGCAAGAGTCATAACAGTGTATTAACAGTGGGGTTTATAACCTCTATAGAAGCAAAATGAGTGACAACAGCTGGATTTTTGTATTTTTTGTAGAGATGGAGTCTTGCTGTTGCCCAGGCTGGTCTCAAACTCCTGGGCTCAAGCAGTTTGCCCACCTCGGCCCCCCAAAATACTAAGATTACAGGCATGGGAACCCAGGGGTTTGAGGCCCCCCCAAATACTAAGATTACAGCCTAGTTGAGTATCTTTCGAAGAAATTTTTAAAGAGGGAAACAATATGTTTCATATTTACCCACACTTTTGCCATTTCTGATCCTTTCTTCCTTTATGTAGATCCAAGTTTTTATCTGATATCATCTTTTCAGCCTTAAGAACTTTTCTTTAACATTTCTTATAGTACAGGTCTGATGGCAATACATTCTCTCAGCTTGCCTTTGTCTGAAAAGGTGCTTGTTTCTGCATTCATTTTTTAAAAGTCATTTTATCTGATTTAGAATTATGAGTTCACAGGGTTTTTTTTTCATCACTTTAAATATTTCATTTCAATGTTTTCCATTTGCATCACTTCTAACAAGAAGTCTGTGATTCCTTATCTTTTTCCTTCTCTACATAGTGTGTTTTGTTTCTCCCGCTGCTTTTAAGATTCCTTTCCTTTTTCACCGGTTTTCAGCAATTTGGTTATGCTGTATCTTAAGGTGGTTTTCTTTGTGTTTATCCTGCTCAGGAGTCCTTGAGCTTCTGAAATTAGTGGATTTATAGTTTTAATCCACCAATTTAAATTCAAAACTTTCTCAGACTGATTTTCAATTAAATAAATGTTCTGAGACTTCAATTACATGTATGTTAGATGTCTTGATATTGTCCCACAGGTAATTTATTTTCCATTTTTTTCTCTCTGAACTTTATTTTGAGGCTGTGTTTAAGGCTTTTACAGGCCTTTAGATAGCCTTTACTCTAAGGCTAATTTAGTCTCATCACTAAGACATGACTCTTCTAGGTCTCTGTTTAATGCCTGACGGGTCCCCCCATGATGGCGGCGGGGGAGGGGAAACATGAGCAATTCCTGCATCAGCCATTGTTTGACTTCCAGCCCTGCTCATGGGTCTGCCTCCAGCTTCATGGAGTTTCACCCTATGCATGTGCAGATGCAGAGTCAATTAAAGACCCTAAAAGAATTTCTAGAATTCTGTCTATATAGTTCTTTCCTCTCTAGTATTCTGTCTCACAAATTCTAACCACCTCAGCTTTCCTGAGTTCTGATCTGGGTTACCTCAACTCAGTAAGACAATGGGGTTCTGTATTATCCTCTCTCTCTCTCTCTTTGCCATAACCCCAAAATTGCCCCTGGGCAGAAAGCTGGGGCACACTTAAAGGCTCACTTGATTCATTTCCCTCAATCGGGGACTTCAGTCCTGAGCTGTCTGTACACTAGTATCTGAAATGAATTGTTTTCTATATTTTGTTCACTTTCCTGCTATTTCCAGTGCAATGATGGATGTCACTCTCTTATGAACAGAATCAGAAGTCTCAGGAATATATATTTTGGCAAAAAGTCACGAGTTCACACTGATAGTTCTCTTCTAAAACATTTCAAATTTTATACTGTAAGGTTTTAGCTTACTTTCTTTGATTGTATTTTTGTATTTTTTGTATTCTTGTATTTCTTTTATTCTGCCTTAAAATCTTAGCTCCTAATAGCATTAACGTAATCCTACGGTATATATCAAATAATTTCAAAATAGTAGTATCGATATTATTACCAACAGTAAGGCCAGGCACAGCAGCTCACACCTGTAATCCCAGCACTTTGGGAGGCCAAGGCAGAAGGATCTCTTGAGCCCAGGAGTTCAAGATCAGCCTAGCAACATAGTGAGACCCTGTCTCTACAGAAAAAATTTTTTTAATTAGCGAGGATGTGAACATGTAGTCCCAGCTGCTTGGGAGGCTGAGGCAGAATCATGGGAGCCCAGAGATTTGAGGCTGCAGTGGGCCATGCTCATGCCATAGAGCAAGAACCTGTCTCCAGAATAAAAGCAAAACAAATAAAACTAACAAAACAAAAGCCCAGAAACCAATAAGACTATTGCATAGGGTTTATTTGCCCTTAGAGTAAGTGCTACTAAACAAGAGGAATCTAAGTTCACTATGATAAAATTCCTTGATCTGGATGTATTCTTCGTGTTAGTTTTGTTACCAACTTAGAATATGGGCTAATTCATTTATTTTATTTTATTGTTTCTGCCAGTTGGATAGCCTTTACCACCTGGACTAATTCATTTGATCTCGGACTGACTTATTTCTTTCAGAGTGTTTCCAAGTTTTACAGTGAACAGAGATAGTGCCTGTCCACTGCAAAATGAACAGGCTTTTTTTCTCCTTTTTTTTCCTTTTTTCCCCCCTTTCTAAACCTTTTTTAGTGTGTGTGTGTGGGGGGGGGGGTGTATTTTTTTTTCCCCCAGAGTGGGCCTCACCGTGTTGCCCAGGTTTGTCTCAAACTCCTGGCCTCAAGCGATCCTTCTGCCTCAGCCTCCCAAGTGGCTGGGATTATAATCATGAGCCACCACACCTGGCTTCCTTTTACATATAACTTTATTTTTCAAACAGTTAAAACATTTACATGATTCCAAAATCAAAATCCTGTAAGATTACACTCAAAGAATTTCTGCTTTCATCCCTTTCTTCTTACCTTTATTCCCTCTCTGCCTGTACATAGGCAAGTCACTCAGGTTTTTGTTTAAACTTCCAAGGTCTTTTTTTGTTTTTTTTGAGACAGAGCCTCTCTCTGTCACCCAGACTGGAGGGCAAAGGCACTATCTCTGTTCACTGCAACCTCTGCCCCCCAGGTTCAAGTAAGTGATTTTCATGCCTCAGTGATTCTCCTGAGTAGCTGGGATTACAGGCACCTGCCACTACATCTGACTAATTTTTATAATTTTAGTAGTACAGGGTTTCACCCTGTTGACCAGGCTGGTCTTGAACTCCTGACCTAAAAATGATCTGCCCGCCTTGGCCTCCCAAAGCACTGGGGTTACAGGTGTGAGCCCCTGACCTGGGTTCTTTTTGTAAATGTAAGTAAATACATGTTTGCATACATAGATTCACATTGCGCCTCTTTTTTACATATATGCATAATGTACACATTTCTTTTTCAACTTAGTAATATATCCTAGAAACCACTCACTCTCTGCACATAGAACTCTATCCCTCTGTCCCCTGTCCTCTCGTCCTCTGCCTCTAGAACTGCTGCATTGTGTGGCTGGATCATGGGTTGTTCAGCCGAGTCCCAGCTTGTTTGGTGGTTTTCCTCCAGTGGGGAGCCATCCCCAGTCCCCTGGCTGTCCCCACCTTTACGGCTCCCAAGTTCTCAGGAGGGGAACTACGAGTGAAGGGTGGCAGTTGTCCTGCTGGGATCAAAGGTCAGAGATGGGGCACCCAGAGACCTTTGCCAAGCAGACTCACAAAGGGAAATGGGGTGCTTTTCAGGAGGCGACATTTCTTTTGCTGAAACTTAATTTATTTTACCCGTCCATGCAGATCTGGAAACAGTTGCCACATCTAAAGGCAGTCGTGATATACAAAGAACCTCCTCCAAACAAGATGACCAATGTGTACACGGTATGGGCAGTGGGGCCCTAGGCGCCTGGCGGGGCCTGCTGGGCCCACCCAGTGACCTTGCCTGCCTGCTCCCTGCACCTGGCTGCAGATGGAGGAATTCATGGAGCTGGGGAATGAAGTGCCTGAGGAAGCCCTGGACGCCATCATCGACACCCAGCAGCCCAACCAGTGCTGTGTGCTAGTCTACACATCAGGCACCACTGGGAACCCCAAGGGCGTGATGCTGAGTCAAGATAATGTAAGACAGATGCTGAGTGGGGGGGACAGTGGGTGAATCTGGGTCATGGCTCTGCCCAGCAGCCCCTGGGGAAGCTCCACGGGCCCCTCTGTTCTGTCTGGGAGCTGGGATAGAGCAATCCTTCAATCTGTGGCCCAGACTGAGCCCAGCAAGTTGGAGGGGAGGCCTGTCCTAGGGTTTTCAGAGCCTGCAGAGATGCCACAGCGGGCATCACATAGGGGCTGGCCCCCAGGGTAGCCGCAGTGGTGAGCACTGCTGGGGCCGGCTTGTAGATGCTGCTGGGGCCCATCTGCCTATCCTCCAGATCACGTGGACGGCGCGGTACGGGAGCCAGGCTGGCGACATCCAGCCAGCAGAAGTCCAGCAGGAGGTAGTGGTCAGCTACCTGCCCCTCAGCCACATTGCTGCCCAGATCTACGACCTGTGGACGGGCATTCAGTGGGGGGCCCAGGTCTGCTTTGCCGAACCCGATGCCCTGAAGGTCAGTCTGCCTCTACCGTGTGTCTGTCTAAGCCTGTGTGCCAGGGCACCTCCACATGTGTCCGTGGGACCTGCGTGTGCATTTGTCTGTGTGCTGTTCCTGTGCATGTATCAGTCCGAATTCTGTCATCTGCAGTGGACACAGCCTGACTCAGATGACCAAACAAGAAGGGCCCTGATGCTATTACATAAAGACGAGTCAGAGTGGTTCGTGGGGCTTGCGACACAATCAAGGACGGGCGTCCTCAGAGTGTCACCGGTTGGCTACCGCCCTTCCCTGAATCCCAGCCTCACAGGAGACACCTGTTCTCGGGACCCTTATTTTAACTGTGAGGAAAACTTTCCGAGAAACACCCCAGCAACGTTCCCTCCACCTGCATCTCAGTGGCCCAAAGGGTCACCTGTCTGTTCTCAAACTGAACGCCGCGGAGGGGAATGGGAGTTTTGTGTCCGAGTTAGACTAGTGGAGAGTTACCACGCTTAGGGTTGGGACGAGACCGGGGTCTTTCTGAAGCACTGGCCGCCTGACAGCTGCCTGCTACCAGGGTTCTGTGTCCAAAGAGGGAGGCAAAGGCCATTGAGCCAACAGTATGTGCCACACCTTGCATGCAGGTGTGTGTGGGTGCCCGTCAAGCTTGTGTGTGCCACCGGCATGTCTGCAAGGCATTTGCACACCTGGCTGGTGAGAGAGGACCCCTGGTCCCCAGCTGTCCCTGACCCAGCAGGCCTGCCTCTTCTGGTATGAACAGGGGAGCCTGGTGAACACACTGCGGGAGGTGGAGCCCACGTCGCACATGGGGGTGCCCCGGGTGTGGGAGAAGATCATGGAGCGCATCCAGGAGGCAGCGGCTCAGTCTGGCTTCATCCGGCGCAAGATGCTGCTGTGGGCCATGTCGGTGACCTTGGAGCAGAACCTCACCTGCGCTGGCAGGTACAGAGGGTCCACGGGCAGGAGGCCTAGGGAGGCAGCGGGCTGGGTCATAACCCAGAACATGGTGAGGGTCTGATAGGCCATGCCCGTCCCAGCGCCAGTGTCCAGGCAGCTCTGGAGAACCCATGCAGAAGCCCCGTCCATGACCGGGCTTGAGCACCTATGCTTTTCCCAGGACCTGCTGGGAACAGTCACTCAACCTTTGGATTCTGACGGGGAGAACTAAGTTGGTTTCTCTGAAGTGAAATTCACCTCCCTAGGAGCAGGTCCTGGCACAGTCTCCTGAGGTCTCCTGACCTCAGTGGGTGGCTGGAGAAGGGGCCACAGTGATAAGGACTTTGCCTTTCCAGGCTTTTCAGCATCTCAAGTGACCCCTCCGACCTCGTCCCCTTTCTATGGCTTTCTAGATTCCCACATAGTGCTATGGGAGTGTCAGTGACATAAATCTGGCTTGGTTTCAATTTAGCAGTTTCCATTCCCCACGTGTCTGTGAAATGGTATGTTTCATGAGATGTGTATACACGCCTGTGCACCCACAGCTTCCTTTGCACAGACATGAAAAGTGAATGTGCATGAACAAAGCATTTGTGGGTTTCACTGGGGTCCCATGTTTGTACCTGTGTCTACACAAATATATACTTCAAGTCTGTGCATGTGTATTGTGTGTGCAAAAAGGCATGTGTCTGTGTTGTCTGTACACCTGTACACAGGTGAATCTGTTTGACTTCCTGATTTAAGACACATTTGCACACAGCCCTGTGCCTGCGTACCTTCCTCTGCATGTGTGTTGACAGGCAGGCTCAATATTCAAACCAACCAACTGGAACAGACAACTGGAATGGCTGAGCCAGTGTGTTAATACCACCCTTTTGTGTGTGTGTGTGTTTGTGTGTGTGCGTCTGTGTCTGTGTCTCTGCGTGTGTGCGTGTGTGTGTGTCTGTGTCTGTGTCTCTGTGTGTGTCTGTGTGTGTGTCTGTGCTTGTGTGTGTGCGTGTGTGTTTGTGTGTGTCTGTGTTTGTGTGTGTGTCTGTGTGTTTGTGTATGTGTGTGTGTCTGTGTGTCTGTCTCTGTGTACATTTGTGTCTGTGTGTGTCTGTATGTCTGTGTGTGTCTGTGTGTGTGTTTGTGTATGTGTGTTTGTGTGTGTGTGTTTGTGTCTGTGTCTGTGTGTGTGTGTGCATGTGTGTTTGTGTGTGATTTCTTCTGTGAACCATTCTCCATCTCCCACCAGCAACCTGAAGCCCTTCACAACCAGACTGGCAGATTACCTGGTGCTAGCCAAGGTCCGCCAGGCACTGGGCTTTGCCAAGTGTCAGAAGAACTTTTATGGAGCAGCCCCTATGACGGCAGAGACACAGCACTTCTTCCTGGGCCTCAACATCCGCTTGTATGCGGGCTATGGCCTCAGTGAGACCTCAGGACCCCACTTCATGTCCAGCCCCTACAACTACCGGCTGTACAGGTGAGGCCAGAGGCTGCCGCACATGTGCACACCCACGCGCCCTTGCTGGCACTCCTCTGTACCCACCTGCTGAGCGCCCTAGGGACCCCCTCTTCTTTACACACCAGTTGGGTCCCAGAGACCTGGCTGCTGGGCTGTGGAGCCCCCGAGAGCCAGCACTGCCACCTTGGGCTGAGTCCCCAGCTTACTCTCCTCAGTCTAGTAGGGGTGGCCTCTGCCACTGTGTTGTGTGAGCCAGTGGTTGAAAACAGCCTGCACAGTCCAGGTGCCCCCTGAACAGGAGTCTACCTATGGAGCAGTTTTCCTCCAGCCCCTCCCTCTACTGGGGTGGGGTGCGTCCCAGAGTGTTCCAGGGGCCAGCTGGGGTGGGAGTGGGGGACCAGGCTGGTCTCCTAATGGGCGGTGAGGGTGGTCCGTTCTGAGGAGTGATTTGCAAGATCATCTGTTGCTTCAATATCCCCTCTCCCTGCCAGCCTATCACAGTGCTCCAAGTTCTGTCATTACCATTTCCTCTGTTCCTTCCTTCATTCATTCCCTAAAACCCTTTAATTGGCTCTACCTTTGAGCTCTAAGTCCCCTGTTAAAATACAAAAGCCCTGGCCGGGCACAGTGGCTCACGCCTGTAATCCCAGCACTTTGGGAGGTTGAGGCGGGCAAATCACGACATTAAGAGATCGAGACCATCCTGGCCAACATGGTGAAACTCCATCTCTACTAAAAATATAAAAATTAGCTGGGTGTGGTGGTGTGCGCCTGTAGTCCCAGCTACTTGGGAGACTGAGGCAAGAGAATTGCTTGAACCTGGGAGGCGGAGGTTTCAGTGAGCCGAGATCGCGCCACTGCACTCCAGCCTGGCGCCTGGCGACAGAGCAAGACTCTGTCTCAAAAAAAAGAAAAAGAAAAACAAATACCAAAAGTCTGTGAGGGGATACCTTCTAGACATCAGTGAAGACCCCCACCATGGGGGCTGGGAGGAGAAGCCTCCCTCTGACCAGTCTCCTGGCCCCTCCCTCACCAGCTCAGGCAAGGTGGTGCCTGGCTGTCGGGTGAAGCTGGTGAACCAGGATGCAGAGGGCATTGGTGAGATCTGCCTGTGGGGCCGCACCATCTTCATGGGCTACCTGAACATGGAGGACAAGACATGTGAAGCCATCGATGAGGAAGGCTGGCTGCACACGGGCGACGCTGGCCGCCTGGATGCAGACGGCTTCCTCTATATCACTGGGCGCCTCAAAGGTGAGCACCCCAGGCTGGGCACGGTGGCTCATGCCTGTAATCCCAGCACTTCGGGAGGCCCAGGCAGGCAGATTGCCTGAGCTCAGGAGTTTGAAACCAGCCTGGGTAACATGGTGAGAAACCATCTCTACTAAAAACCCACAAAAAGTCTGGGCTCAGTGGATCACGCCTGTAATCCCAGAACTTTGGGAGGCCAAGGTGGGCGGATCACGAGATCAAGAGATCAAGACCATCCTGGCCAACATGGTGAAACCCTGTCTCTACTAAAAACACACAAAAAATTAGTTGGGCACCTGTAATCCCAGTTATTCGGGAGGCTAAGTCACGAGAATTGCTTGAATCTGGGAGGTGGAAGTTGCAGTGGGCCGAGATCACCTCGCTGCACTCCAGCCTGGGAGACAGAGCTAAACTCTGTCTCCAAAAATCAAACCAAACCAAAACAAAACAAAAAGGCTAGCGCCCTGGACAGCTATAGTGGGGTAGGGGCAGGAAGTCCACTGCCACCACTGTTCATACCAGCACCAGTATTGAGCCTTTATTAAGTGTCACACACCTTTAGTGACATTGTTTTATTTACTCCCCTCTCCTATGAACTCTAACTTGCTAATGAGGACACCCAGAGAGGTTAAGTAACTTGTCCAAGGTCACCCAGCTGGTAAATGGTGGAGCTGGAAATGAGACCTTTAGAGAAATAAGGCAAGTCTCTGCAGAAGATTCAAGAGCTTGAGTATTATGTATTTTTAGATGCAAACACGGATACGATGGGGAATAGAATGCACGTTGGATATGAAATTTAAAATAAGACAAACTTCCCACAGAGACAGAAATAGCTGGGGATGCCTCTGTGGAAGTGCGTTCTACCTACTTCACCTGAGTTGGTGTCACGCCCGTGGCACCCACGTGGGAATCCTGCGCCAGGGCCTCATGGGGGAAACAAACGAAGCGAGTGGGTAAACTACTTTGTGGACATCACACAGAGGCAGTGTGCGACCGTGCCCAGGCCCCATCTCGGCCGCCCCAGGGGGGGACAAAACATCTCGGTGGTGTTTGGGCCCTGGGATGTGCAGGCTGGTGAGCCCTGCCAGGTACCCTCCCAGAAGACTCCGGGAGAGACAGGTGGCTGCTTGGATGTGCCTTGGGCGCCACCTGGTGTTCCTCTTTGTAACGGCAGATGAGGGGACCCACATTCCTGCAGGAGGATAGCAGCCTGAAAACCAAATTCAACCAGAGCTGGCCCTCCTTTTAGAACTAGTATAATGAGAGGTAAAGGTCCAGATAGCTTTTCTCCAAATACATATCCAACCGACACAGCGTCCCTTCCTCATTGCCTTGCAGTGGTACCTGTGTCCTTGACGAAGTGACTGTGAGGGGCCTATGTGTGGACTCTACTCTGTTCCCTGTTCTATTCGCTTATCCTTGCACCAGTACACAGTGTCTTAATTCCTATAGCTCTATGACCGGGCTAGATAACCGGTTAAGTGCTTACAGCCCTGGTCTTCTTCTTCTTCAAGACGACCTTGGCTATTCTTGGCCATTTTCATTTCCATAGGAACTTTCCATTGTATGTTTCCTCAAAAACTGGAGGGAATTTTGATTTTTTATTTCATTGAATCTGTAGATCAATTTGGTGAGGAAAATACATCTTTATATATTGGGTCTTCCAATTCACAAAGATGATAAATCTCTCTCTCCATTTACTTAGGTCTTTTTCAGTTTCTCTCAGTAATGTGCTATTTATTTATTTATTTTTTAGGCAGGGTCTCGCGTTGTTTCCCAGGCTGGAGCGCAGTGGCATGATCTTGATCACTGCAACTTCTACCTCCCGGGTTCAAGTGATCTGCCGGTCAGGTGTCAGCCTTCCAAGTAGCTGGGACCACAGGTGCAAGCTCCTACACCTGGCTAATGTTTTATTTTTGTAGAGAGGGGGTTTTGCCATGTTGCCCAGGCTGGTTTTGAGTTCCTGAGCTCAAGCCATCCTCTTACCTCGGCTTCCTAAAGTGCTAGGATTATAGGTGTGAGCCACTGCATTCAGCCTACATTTGTGAGGCTAGAGATTTTTGCACATCTTTCCTTGTATTTTACTTCACACGCATGCGCACGTGCGCGCGAGTGCGTGTGTGTGTGTGTGTGTGTGTGTGTGTGTGTGTGTGTGTGATGGAGTCTCTCTCTGTCGTCCTTACTGGAGTACAGTGGTGTGATCTCGGCTCATTGCAACCTCCTCTTCCTGGGGTTCAAGTGATGCTCCTGCCTCAGCCTCCTGAGTAGCTGGGATTACAGGCACAGGCCACCACCCCCAGAGAAGTTTTGCATTTTTAGTAGAGACGGGGTTTCACCATGTTGGTCAGACCGTTCTTGAACTTCTGACCTCGTGACCTTCCTGCCTCAGCCTCCCAAAGTGCTGGAATTATAGGCATGAGCCACTGTGCCCTGCCCTTGTATTTACTTCTAATAATTTTTTATGCTATTTTAAATAATATCATTTCTAAAATTTTTTCAGCTCAGATGTTGCTGTGAAACTTTTTTTGTCTATTTGTTTGCTATTGGTATATAGAAATGCAACTGCTTTTTGCATATTGGCCTTGTATCAAATGACCTTGATCAGTCGATATATTTAATTCATTTGAATATTCTATGGACACAACTATATCATCTGCAAATAATGACAAATGATTTTTTTTTCTTATTGTATTGCACAGGTTAGGACCTCCAGGGCAGTGTTGAATAGAAGTGGTGATAGTGGTCAAACTTGTTTTGTTCCTGACCTCAGGGGACAAGCATTATTTTATCCACTAAGCATGTTGGCTGGGCACAGTGGCTTATACCTGCAATCCCAGCACTTTGGGAGGCTGAGGCAGGATGGCTTGAGCTCAGAAATTTGAGACCAGCCTGGGCAACATAGTGAGATCCTGTCTCTATTTATTAAAAATAATCATTAAATCTTTTTTAGCCAGGTGTGTGGCTCATGCCTGTAATCCCAGCATTTTGGGAGGTTGAGGCGAGCAGATCACAAGGTCAAGAGGTCAAGACCATCCTGGCCAACATGGTGAAACCCCGTCTTTACTAAAAATACAAAAATAAGCTGGGCATGGTGGTGCACACCTGTAGTCCCAGCTACTTGGGAGGATGAGGCAGGAGAAACGTTGAACCCAGGAAGCTGAGGTTGCAGTGAGCCGAGATTGCGCCATTGCACTCCAGCCTGGTGGCAGAACCAGACTCTGTCTAAAAAAAAAAAAAAAAAACTTAAAAAAAAATGTTTGTAGATGTTCTTTATCAGATTAAAGAAGTTTCTTTCCAGCTGTAGTTTGCTAAGGGTTTTTATCATTTACTAATGGCAAAAGATGCTGGTAAGAATGCAGAGGGCAGTAGTGGGGAGAAAAGGGCAGGAATGAGGTGGCCATGATGAGGCATATGTGGGGGAGGCTGGTTTGTTATATTCCCACATTTCCAGAGTCTGTCTTTTCCTCCTCACTTCTGCTGTCCTAGACAAACTCTGATCATCCAGACACTTGTCACGGCTCCCTCTCTAGCCGGCCTGCCCCCTAAATAACCATTCTTCACCTGAGCTGCCAGAGCGGCCCAGAACTTTGCTGTCATTCCATTCCCCCTCCCAGCGCAGCTCCTCAGCCAGCACAAGAGGCCTCCGAGATCCATCCTACTCCTCCAGCCTCCGCCTCACTTGCTACCTGCAGCTCCCTTAAGGCCTGTGAGCTTCTGCTCCTATCCTGCCTCTGCGTAGCAACCCCTATTCATGTTCAGCATGTAGCTGGGCCTGGCGCCTCCCTGCTCCAGCCCTGCAGCCTCTGTGCCTCCCCGTCTCACTGCCCTCTGCACTGTGGGCTCCTTGCAGCCATGGCCAGCCTTGTTCTGTTCTGTGCCTGATGTCAGCACAGGACCTGTGCACAGAATGTGACCAACTAATCTTTGTTGAATTAGAACTAAGGGACAGGAGTACAGTCTCAGTAAAATCAACGTACATTTGTGCAACTTATTTTATTGAATTTATTGCCATCTACTCCAGAAGTAAGCCACCATTACTATCAGAGAACAGGTCAGGGCACTGAGTGCCTGGCAGTCTGTTGGACAGAAGGAAAGAAGGGGAGGGGACCTTCCAGGGAAGGGTGCAAGCAAGTGGAAGAAGCATCCTAGCAGGGCAGGTAAGAGCACGGGCTCTGGAATGGGACTGGATTTTAAATCTTAGCTCTGCTACTTAGTAGCACGTGAGCTTGGACAAGTTACCGAACATCTCTGTGCCTCGGTTTCCTCATCTGCAAAAACAGTAATAGTGTCTGCTTCAGTATAGGTTTATTGTGACTGTTAAATGAATTACTCTATGTGAAGTGCTTAGCACGATGGTGAGTGCTGTGTGTGACAGGGATGGTGTTTATTAAGCAAAGTCAGGGAAGGGAAATGACATGGGCTATTCGGGGGGCAGGAACTGGGGCTGGCAGAGGGGGCCAGATGTCTTGGATGATGAGCTGAGGAGAGGGGACCCTGGGTGAGCATCTGTCCTTGGGGAGCCACCACCAGCTCCCCCCCAGCAGGTGTGAGGTGCTTCGGAGGGCCTGGCACTGCTTCTTGGCTCCCAGTGAGGGGGCATCTCCAGCTGTGCTGCCTGCTGTGCCTGAGGCTTCCAGGGTGTGGCTGAGGCCTGGGTTGTGATTTAGCTGGGACACCTGAAGTACATTCTTTGCCGGGGGCCTGGCCTTGCCTCCCCAGAATTAATCATCACAGCTGGTGGGGAGAATGTACCCCCTTTGCCCATCGAGGAGGCCGTGAAGATGGAGCTGCCCATCATCAGCAACGCCATGTTGATTGGGGACCAGAGAAAGTTCCTGTCCATGCTGCTCACCTTGAAGGTGTGTCTGAGGGGGCTCTGGCTCAGAAGTAACAGCTAGTGATGGGGTCTGTGGGTCTGGATGGCAAAAGCCACATTCAGCACAGGGCACAGGCAGATCTCATGGCTTCATTCTGAAATGACTCAAGTCCCTGCTGCCTGCACTGTAGGAGCATCTGTGGCACATGGAAATTCCCTCCGTCCCACACATGCCACTGTGAGGATCCTTTACGTGTTACTTGCACTTTCCAGTTTACAAAGCGATGCTGCCCTCCCTTGTTGCTCTCAGCAGGTACTTGGGCCTCAGGGTTACAGACAGGCAGGAGTCAGGGTCCCTGCTTTACAGATGATGACATCACTGACCGAGGTCTTCTAATTCTGAGACCACTGCTCCTTCCACAGTAACATGAGGCTCAGCACAGTAGCGGCTACTCATTCTAGAACCATGTCTTTGAAACAGAGCTCACGTGATTCACACCCTTGCCGACAGCTAAGACCAGGACCAGGGCTTACGTCTTGTGGGGTAAGGCTTGGTCCTCATCTCATCTCTGGCTCTTCAGTGCACTCTGGACCCAGACACCTCTGACCCGACTGATAATCTGACCGAACAAGCTGTGGAGTTCTGCCAGCGGGTGGGCAGCAGAGCCACCACAGTATCAGAGATCGTGGGGAAGAAGGATGAGGCCGTGTACCAGGCCATCGAAGAGGGGATCCGGAGGGTCAACATAAACGCGGCGGCCCGGCCCTACCACATCCAGAAGTGGGCGATTCTTGAGAGAGACTTCTCCATTTCGGGTGGAGAGCTGGGTAGGTTTTCTCTTCACTATTGCAAGGGCGGTGTGGGAAGGCAGGGGCCATGGCAGTGCCTAGGAGGTGCCCGTTATGAAGGAGCCATGGCAAGATCAAGGTCATGGCAGGAATCTGGGTGATGGCTCAGTGCCCTGGCTTGTGGTTATGGGGAGCCTGTTGAATGTACAAGATATATGCTAGAACTTTCTAATCTGAACATGACATTTAACTTGGCCTTGACTATGGGACCATTTTCTCCTAAAATCACAATGGAACTACCAAGCCAACACCAAGGCCCTGGTGGTGTTCAGGCTGGAGTCATGTGGTTCTAGGGGCGAGATACTGTGATCTTTTGGAAAGTCGGCTAGTGTGATAGGTAAAGGGATGAGGCTGCCCTGGACCACTGCCCACAGAACCAGAAGAGGGCTCCAGTGCAGCCTCAGCTGAGGTCACTCTTGGCTGAGCCAAGAGATGTTCATGGTGTGTTCATGGAACAGGGGAGGTGGAAATGGTTATGCCAGTGTGATTCCCTCAAACTGACCAAGGCTGAACCCAGATGCTACTGTGCACAGCAATGCTGAGCTGCAGTCAAGAGACCTTGAGCTTATCTGGCCATCTGCTGCCAGCAGATTGAATGCAAGGTCAACCAGACAGCAGATACCCTCTCTAAGTAGTTAATACAATGACTTTCACACTGAAAGTTTCCATTTACAGTCAAGAGTGAGTTAGGCATTTTAAGCTACCCAGGACCTCAAATCAGAGCTCCTTCAGCCTTACTTTAGAGGGAGGAAATCAAGGTCAAGGAAAGTTAATAGGGGAAGACCTCTCATAAAGACCATGGCAGAGGCTCCCCAGAACCTGGACTTCCCCTACACCCATCACAACCATCAAAGCATAATGTCCAATACTGCATGAACTTTCACACAAATGCAGAGATGCTGTGTACTAATCATCAAATACACTGCTGTGTAACAAATGACCCCCCAGAATGTAGCAGCCTAAAGCAATAAACACGTATTATCCACATTTCTGTGCGTTAGGAATTCAGGAGCAGCTTAGCTGGGTGGTTCTGGCTCGGGTCTCATGGGATTGCATCAATGTGAGCTGGGTGCAGTCACTTGCAGCTGAGGGTCCCCCTCCACACTCACTTATCTGGCTGTTGGCAGGCCTCGGCTCCTTGCTGGCTGTGTGGCCAGTGGGCCTCTCCTGGGCTGCCTGTGTGTCCTCACAACATGGCAGCCAGCTTGCCCAGGAAGAATGGTCCAAGACAGAAACCTAGTCTATTTTTTTTTTTATTGCTTCAACAATTTATTCATTCAAGAGACAGAATGAATAAACCTATTTTAGAAAAAATGGACTGAAGACTAAAAATGGGTGCAGGTCAAGGATAAGGTAGACGTAGCCTCCACCACTTTCCTACGTATATAAAAGAAACTGCAGTCTTTTATAACCTATTCTCAGAAGTGACATACCAACCCTTCCCCAATCCTCCACTGGCCATAACCAGTGGGATGACATAAGAGACTACACACACGCCACGTAAATACCAGGAGCCATCACTGTCTTAGAGGCTGGCTACTGACTGTCCCAACTGTCTGGCTTAATTCCTGAATGACAGGATTCACTGAGTGTGAGTCTTTACCACACACATTCTCAGAGTTCTCGGAGCCTGGGCCTCACTCATTTCTTCCCATTTCTCTTTTAGGTCCCACAATGAAACTGAAACGGCTCACGGTTTTGGAGAAGTACAAAGATATCATTGACTCCTTTTACCAAGAGCAAAAAATGTAATCGAGGGCCGTGCTCGCAGTTTCTACAGAATAGAGGGCAGGCCTTCTGAGCATCTTCCTGAGCCTCAGGTCTCCTCAGTCTGGGCACAGGCATTTCTGGCAAATCTGTTAGATCTCCAGGTCAGGGCACAGCACTAGCTCTACATTTACCAGGTCTTATGCCAGTAATAGCTGACAATTCCGAGAAGCTTCACGTGTGGGTAGTTTTAATTCTGTTTAAGTATTGCTTTGTGTTCAGGTGACAAATGAGATCAGCTCTCCTTCCAGAACGAAAGGGCTGATCATTTTTGGCCTTAGTTCCAGGTAGATTAACAAGCTGCTAGTTCACATACAAAACAGCCGGCAGCAGGCTGTGGAGCTGGTGGGAGGGAGATGGCTGATACTGCTCTTGTGCACCGCAGGGAAAGCAATCAGTTACAACTCACCTAGCGACCTGACTTCCTCTGGAATCGCGGTGGACATTGCCGACCCTGTTATCCCATCACCCGGCACTCCTCCGACACACACATGCCAACTGACTGGATGCTTAATAAAACTGCTGCTGCCTGTTTGACCCTATTTAATGTGTAATTTGAATATTAAACCTTTTAACAGAACTGTCAACAAGGACCCGGTTTTTTTGTTAATTGGGCAGGTGGGACAAGTGCAGAGAGTCGTGGGTATTAAACTCACAAGACTGTGGACAGCAGACATGAGTGACCACTGGTGCCCTGGAATAAACAAAGGTGCAGGATGGGGTTAAGTGGAGCATTCTCGTAAAAGCAGCCAACTCTACACTGGCCTGTCACCACCAGGCCACCCCGCTTCCACTCTGAATACTGGAAGCAGCCATTCTCGGTAGCAAGCTAAGCCAACGTGACCGAAGGCATGTGAACGGGAAACAGGTGGAGAAAGCAAACATCTCAATCAGATTTGGAATTTTTATTACTTTGAACCCAAGAGCCACTGATAACTAGCACAATCCAATGAAACCAAGGAAGCAGCAGCTTAAACAAAGGAAAATACATTTAAGATTGTAAGTCTGGTTAGAAGCTTAAAAAATGACCCAGACAGGGATTCGTTGCTAAAAAAAAAAAAATCCCCTGGTGGCCTGGGTACATTCTGCAAAGCCACAGGTTTGCAATGTTATACAAGGGTCAAGGGAGGGCATGAGTTGTCTTTGGTTGTGGGGCCACAGGGTAACTGTTCATGAAAACAGTGAGTGTCTGAGGATTAAGAAAATCATGCTGCCACGGAGGGGAAGGGAGAAGAGGGCAGGAAGGGACAGGAGATGCCTGAGGGTCAAAAGCTGGGCCCCAACTCAAGCTCAAGCCCCAGCATGGCACAATTTTGTGAATCAACTCAGGCTGAGTCACCTCCAGTGTCTGCAATGTCTTCTTATACTGGTACTGCTGAGGCAGAGGGCAGTAACTGGTGCTCCGGGAGATGAGAAGGGGCACTTGCTGAAATGTGAAACGGTCAGCATCCCAAGTTCCTCAATTGCAGTCAAAATACATGTGATCAAGCCTCTTGGCAGTATCGCCCCCAGCACTACCAGCTGCACTGTGGTCCATTCCCAGACAGAGACATGCATGACAGTCAGCCCTTCTGGCTCGAGAGCAGGGGCTCAGAGGCTGCGACAACTCATGATGCTGAAAATGTATCCAATAAAAGGAAGTACTAGGTCTCTGCTTCATTAGAAGTTCTTGTAAAAAATAATAAATCTCAAGACAAAATAATTGAACACACAATACATTTGTATCTTTGTATCCAATATATTACCTCTGTCTTATTAACAAAAATTATATTTCTCATTATATATTTCTTGGATCTGAAGTTTTAATTCATACTCAGTAATTTCTGTAAAGGACAAATCTGTCTCTATTTTCCATATCATTTAGAAATCACCACATTCACTCTTTTTGATGTGAACTTTCCCAGGAAATCTTTCTTGTGCCCATTTAGTTTTATAACAGTGTCACTTTGTGCTATTATGTCAATATCTTGTTTTATTTCCATTATGTTTTTCAAAAACCAAAGAAAATAAGGTTTTTCTTAAAAAGTTAGACATTTTATCTTGTTAATTCTGTATCCTGATATTTACAGTTGAAGAGAAACTATTTTAACTTAAGTGTAAAAGGATTTAGAATAGCAAATTATGCTGTTCACTTAAGAGTTTACAAAAAAAAAAGTTTACCAGGTAGACACTTAATAAATAAAACAAGCACTTGGAAAAAGTTCTTTGAAAACAGACGCAGGGACATCCACCGGCATCTTTTGCACAGATTTTGTTAAGAAAAGGCCAGATCTAAAAATGTACTGTCAAGAAACAAGCAAACCAATGCATACATACATAGGTATTCTACATAGAGGTTTATGTGGTGTCCATTTGGAGTGACTGATGCAAATACCAGCTGCAGAAGCATTAATCTAAATCTTTTACTCGGCGACAGATTTCCTCTGTGAAGTCTGAGCATTTTGCACTGCCTCCCAAATCTTTTGTCAAGCTCTGAGAAAAGGGAAAAGCAAAAGTAAAAAATGTATCCACAAACTAAATTAAACTAAGGAGATTTTAAAGCCCTCGGGGAGATGCCACCTAGGCAAGTTACTTGGCTGCCCTTTCATTTAGTTCCTCATTTCAAAGTGAGGAACCACTCCACCACCATCTACCCAGCTGAGGAGGTTCAGGATCCAACCTCATAGTGTATACGACAGCACTCCACAAAGAACAAGGCACTCTTAATGCAAAGGGCGGCAGGGAGTTTTACCCAAAATTTTCCCTTTATTCACACAATAGACCCTAATACAGGTTGGTTAGTCATGGATATTGAAATAAAAGCAAATCTAAACAAGAAGTTTCATAAAATCCTCGGGAAATTTTTAAAGGTTAAAAGACCTGAGACATATTCCGATCTATTTTGTTTTTATTTTTATTGTTTTTAGGATGGAGTCTCACTCTGTTGCCCAGGCTGGAGTGCAGTGGCATGATCTCAGCTCACCACAACCTCTGCCTCCTGGGTTCAAGTAATTCTCCTGCCTCAGCCTCCCGAGTAGCTGGGATTACAGGTGCGCACCACCATATCCAGCTGATTTTTGTATCTGATCTATTTTTGGAGGTTGGGAAACAAACATGAAGGAAATATTTAAATCATTAACTCTCTTTTTTTAAAAATAGAGACGGGGTCTCACTATGTGGCCTAGGGCTGGTCTTGAACTCCGAGGTTCAAGTGATCCTCCTGCCTCAGACTACAGCTCCAACTGCAGGCATGCACCACCACACCTGCCTCAGTCATTAACTCTTAAACCTCCCTCTTTAGGAAAGAAAGCCTTCCATTCAACTGATCCGTTCTACCAGCTTATCCTTTCTTTCCTGCATATAGACACAAATATATTTAATTCTCTTTATCTTTCCATCCTATACAATAAAAAGGCCCACTGTGTAATTTAGGCACCTCTCTGCTGGGCTGTGGATTATAACTTCCCAAATATAATTTCAGAATAAGGAAATCATCTGACCTCCAATGTGACTATCAGGCTGTTAAAAACAAGGCTGCATTTCTTGTATTTTGGTCATATGATATAATTTGAAGTTACAGACTCTTTTTTTTAACAGAGGGACCAACTTTGAAGATACTATGCTAAGTGAAATAAGCCAGACTCAAAGGACAAACACTGTATGATTCCACTTACACGAGGTACCTAGAACAGTCATATTCATAGAGACATGAAGCAGAATGGTGGGTGCCAGAGGATGGAAGGAGGGGAAGGGAAAGTTACTGTTTAATGGGTGCAGCGTCTCAGTCTGAGAAAATGAAACGGTTCTGAAGATGACGGACAGCAATGGTTACATCACAACATGACTGTACTTAACATTACTGCACTGTGTACCTAAAAATGGCTAAAACAGTAAACTTTATGTTATGCATATTTTTCACAATTTTTGTTAAAAAGAACCTCAAATTAGGGATGAGTCTTCAAGTACATTACCTCTTCTCACTTGGAATAACCCACTCTTCTCACTTGGAATAACCCACCACACTCCTTCCATGGCCACAATTGCTTATGAAGGCAGTGAAGCCTGCTGGGTAAGGGCCAGACTGGGTGTTAATACCAACTTGGTCATTTAGGAGCTGAAAAACCTCAGATAAATTATGTAATCTCTCTGTACCTCAGCTTCCTCATCTGTAAGGTGGAATTACGGTATCTACTTCACAGAGTTATAGATAAGCTTTGCTGAGATGATATATAAAGAACTTAAAAGTCGCATAAGTATTCAATTAATATTAGTTGTTATTACCTTTATAAAACTTTTTTTTAATATTTATTTATTTATTTATTTATTTTTATTGCATTTTAGGTTTTGGGGTACATGTGCAGAACATGCAAGATAGTTGCATAGGTACACAGATGGCAGTGTGTTCTGCTCCCTTCCTCCCCTTCACCCACATTTGGCATTTCTCCCCAGGCTATCCCTCCCCAGCTACCCCCCCCGCTGTCCCTCCCCTTTTCCCCCCAATAGACCCCAGTGTTTAGTACTCCCCTCTCTGTGTCCATGTGTTCTCATTTCTCATCACCCACCTACTAGTGAGAATATGCGGTATTTCATTTTCTGCTCTTGTGTCAGTTTGCTGAGAATGATGTCCTCCAGATTCATCCATGTCCCTACAAAGGACACGAACTCATCATTTTTTATTGCTGCATAATATTCCATGGTGTATATGTGCCACATTTTCCCAGTCCAGTCTATCATCGATGGGCATATGGGTTGGTTCCAGGTCTTTGCTATTGTAAACAGTGCTGCAATGAACATTCATGTGCATGTGTCCTTATAGTAGAACGATTTATAGTCCTTTGGATATATACCCAGTAATGGGATTGCTGGGTCAAATGGAATTTCTATTTCTAAGTCCTTGAGGAATCACCACACTGTCTTCCACAATGGTTGGACTAATTTACACTCCCACCAACAGTGTAAAAGTGTTCCTTTTTCTCCACATCCTCTCCAGCATCTGTTGTCTCCAGATTTTTTAATGATCGCCATTCTAACTGGCGTGAGATGGTATCTCAATGTGGTTTTGATTTGCATCTCTCTAATGACCAGTGATGATGAGCATTTTTTCATGTTTGTTGGCCTCATGTATGTCTTCTTTTGTAAAGTGTCTGTTCATATCCTTTGCCCATTTTTGAATGGGCTTGTTTGTTTTTTTCCTGTAAATCTGTTTGAGTTCTTTGTAAATTCTGGATATCAGCCCTTTGTCAGATGGGTAAACTGCAAAAATTTTTTCACATTCTGTTGGATGCTGATTCACTCTAGTGACTGTTTCTTTTGCCATGCAGAAGCTGTGGAGTTTGATTAGGTCCCATTTGTCTATTTTGGCTTTTCTTGCCAATGCTTTTGGTGTTTTGGTCATGAAGTCCTTGCCTACTCCTATGTCCTGAATGGTTTTGTCTAGATTTTCTTCTAGGGTTTTTATGGTCCCAGGTCTTATGTTTAAGTCTTTAATCCATCAGGAGTTAATTTTAGTGTAAGGTGTCAGGAAGGGGTCCAGTTTCTGCTTTCTGCACGTGGCTAGCCAGTATTCCCAACACCATTTATTAAACAGGGAATCCTTTCCCCATTGCTTATT